TGTTCAAAATGAACTAGAAATGTTGTCCGTCATCGTACCCATTCTTTCCGTACCCATTTCGATCGTCCCAACACTCCCCCGGCCGTGTGGAGGCCTCCCGAGTGGGGTCGGAGCGCTAGGCAACCACATGTGAGGCCTACCTAAGACGAGGCCAGGACGAGGACAAGCTCGGATGAGGATAGATCGAGAATCTCTGAGGTCCAGCGGCTCTGGAGGATGTATGGGGCGCCGCGTCCTTCTCAGAGCGTTCCTGAACGCTTTAAAAGCGTTCCAAAACGCTCTGGAACGGATATATCTCGGTTCTAAGCCCGTCCGGCCCTCCCCCGGCAGTGTGGAGGCCTCCCGCGTGGGGCTGGAGGGCTAGGCAACCACGTGTGAAGCCTACCCCTCCAGGACAGAGTTCTGGAACGCTGGCCGGGGTTCAGAATTTGAACCCCAGTGGGGGGGTCCCATTCCCCAGCGTCGAGTGGGCCCGCAGAGGTAGAGTTCGCGACCGGGCGCACGAGGGCGGCCCCGCATCGCCGATACATCGGCGACGTCGGGATAGAGAGCATCTTGCTCCGGATCGCGCCGCATCGCCGATGCATCGGCGAGGCGGCGAGGCATCGGCGATGCGGCGCAGTCCTCGGGCCCCATTCGGGCGGCCTATATGGATGGATGAAGGGGAAGGAGGAATTGGCAGAGGACACAGAGGACCAGAGGAAGGAGGGAGGGACGCTCATTTATTTTGCTGTTTTTGTGGGCCTCGCGGCGATCTTCGGTGGCCATCTTGGGAGATCTTCGACGCCACGGCCGGATCTGACCCGAGCTCCTGGTCAGAACGAGCCCCTGGAAGGGTTCAGGGATTGATTTTTGAGGGAGGCGCATCCGTCATCATCAAGCGGCCCGCGGCACAGAGTTGCCCCCAGCAGTGAGTGGGGTCGAGAGCTCTGGGGCTACCATAGGCCCTACCCATTCGGAGTTCCCCCAAAACTCTTTAGTAATAAGTTCACCTTCCAAGACCAGAACGCATACGAGGTGAACGGCCGTATCGCTTCGAGATGGCGCACTGCTCGATAATGATTCCGCTGACTACCCGTACATAGTCTCTACACCACGGCACTGCACGCTTGTTCAATGCTACAATTATTCCGACGGTCATATATGGCTCCCCAAACAGTGCTTACAATTGGGGGCTATTACTTCGATAACCTAGGGAATTGTATTGGTGTGGCCACGTTTCGCCTGGTGCCAGGTTCGCGCCCCGTCGTGGGTGCCTCGTGGGCGCACCTTGCGCTGGGTGAGCTTGCCGAAATCTCGCATGGTGCCCGGCTGGTGCTTGGTCGTGGGCGCCTTTTGGGCGCCCCTTGCGCTGGGTTGAATTGCAGAGGCTTCCCTTGGTGCCCGGTTGGTGCCTGGTCGTGGGCGCCTCGTGGGCGCACCTTGCGCTGGGTGGTTACGCAGCTGGCTCTGAACAGCTTGCACGGCACAGGTTTCACCACGTAGCTTGCACCACAAAGCTTACACCGAATAGCTTGCAGCACCGACATTGGACCACACAGATTCTCCTGTCAAACGAAGAATAAACTCTACCACCCGCCCCCCCCAGACATATTGGTATCCCGCGGGCAACTGCAAATGTCATGTGATTCTGCCCTGCTGCGGATTTTCCATCATATATATATATACCTATAAAATACCATCCCTGGCAAGACGGGCATCCATGGCAAACAAAACTATGCGCGCTCCGGTCTCTTAAGATATCATGTTTCAAGAACCCTATTAAGAGAAACGGCACACGAAGTCAGCACGCGCGCACATGTCAAACTCATACCCAACGCACCCACTATTCTACGCTACCAACATGCAAACATCAAAACCCGTAAAAGTCTAGGCCCCTGGTTGCAAATGCTCTGCCCGCGCGCATCTGGTGAAATCATTGGACAACAATATAATTTTAGCGGTCTCACCCAAAATCCGCATTCTGATCGCACCACGCGACACATCCGCGTTCATGCAGCATGCGCCCAGCGGACGAGTCTATATGATGCAGGCCGCACGCGTGCGCCGCCACGCGAGCGTATCAAAATCCTTCCAGTAAAATTGTTGCAAAAAATTCAAGAATGCATTCCGACAAAGAACTTGGCCAGGGATCTTGGATTACCGCGCGAATACTTCCTCACCGCCACCCGCATCAAAGCCGCCGCATCACGCCATCGTCATCGACAACCGCCGCAGTTGCCGGCATCATCCATCAAGCACCTTCACCATCGGCACACGGAACATCATCATCGTATTCGGCGTTACCAACATCAACGCCGTCACTGACCTTGCCGTCACCGTCGTCATCATCGGCACCACCATCGCTACGATGGTCATCGCTACCGCCATTGCCGTCTTCACGATACCGCGCCCGCCCGAGCCACCGACCCACACTGGAGTGTCTGCGCGCCGGCGCTGCCTGTGACGTGCGCCAGGACGCTGCAACTGGTGAGCGCCGTCGGGCCGCATCGCTGGTGCCAAACCAATTGGCGAGAGTTTGCGCGCGAGAGTTTGCGCGCGCCAGCGCGGCCACAAAGACGTGCCCAGTGGCCGAAGAGATGGCCTAGCACTCATCGCAATCGCCGCGTGGGTTCTGCAAGCCACGTTGCGGGCGGGAGTGTGGGATGATTGCGCAAGCAGTGGAGTTAACAACTCATGAGTTGGAGAAAAGGAGCTGCTGCATCACACGGATTGAATTTCATAGCTTGCACCTTATAGCTTACACATCAAGTGGAGGAGGACACAGAGGACCAAGGAAAGGGGGAAGGACGTTGATTAGGCTTGCTGTTTTCATGGGCCTCCCAAGAATATCTGGTGGCCCTCTGGGGGGTCTCTTCGACGACACGGCTGGATCTGACCCGAGCTCCTGGTCAGAACGCGCCCCTGGAGGCTCCCGGAGTGTTTTTTGAGAGAGGAGGCAACCTCCCAGGAGTTGCATCAAAGAGAGGAGGGTCCACGGTCATCAGGCGGCCCGCGGCACAAAGCTGACCCCAGCAAGGAGTGGGGCCCGGGGCTCCAGGGCCGACATAGGCCCTACCCTTTCGGAGCTCCCCTCCAAAACTCCTCGGCGAGAAGCTCACCTTCCAGGGCCAGAACGAGTACGAGGTGGACGGCCGTGTCGCTTCAGAGTGGCGAAAACTCCGCCCATCAAAGATTGAGCTGACTGACCGTACATGTTTTTCACACGGCACGATGCGCTGGCTCAGTGCCCCACTTGCTCCGGCTGTCATCGATGGCTCCCCGACTAGTACCTGCACTCAGGGGCTCTTACTCCGATTGGGCGTGGCCGGGTTTCGCCTTGCGGGCGGTCGTGGGCGCCTCGTGGCAGCCCCGTGCGCTGGGCGGGTGTGGCGAGGTTCCGCCTGGTGGGCGGGCGCGGGCGCTCCTCGGTGGCCACATCTTACGCCACATCGATCACTCAACATAAGAGAGAGCGCGCCCACAGCGCCGGAGCAAAGGGGGGGGGTCCCCCCCTGAGCTACCCCCCCGCCCTCCCTTCCACCTCCCCTGCTGGAAGCTCCCCCCCCCTGTCCCCCTTTTTCGCTTACCCCCTGAAGCTACCCCCCCCCTCCCCCCATTTCGCCGCTCCGAAGCTTCCCCCCCTTTCCAAAGGGAGGGGGGGGCTTAGCTCCCCCCCCTTGATTCCAAAGGGGGGGGGCTTAGCAGCCCCCCCCCCCTCCCCCCCCTTCGGCGGCCCGGAAGCTATCCCCCCCCGTCTTACAGAAGGAGAGGGAAGCTTAGCTACCCCCCCCCTCCTTTGACCCCCCTCTGCTGGAAGCCCCCCCCGCCTTCCCTCTATATTTCTCCCCCCTGCCAGAAGCTTCCCTCCCCTCCCCTCCCCCCCTTTCCAAAAGGAGAGGGGCGGCTTAGCTACCACCCCCATCCCTTGAACTCCCCCTGCCGGACGATCCTCCCCCGTCGCCGGCGCCGTTGCCGTCGCCGTCGCTCGACGTCTTCGTACGACGCCGTCGTCGTCCTCGTCGTCGTCGCCGCCGTCGCCGTCATTGTCGCCGTCTTCGTATGACCTCGTCGTGGTCGTTACGACGACGACGAGGTCATACGAAGATGGGGACGGACGACGGATGACGCACGACCGACGACCGACGACGACGACGACCCAGGAGAAAACGAGGAAACGAAGCAGGGCCCGAGAAAACGAAACCACGGCCCAGGGGCCGAGCAAACGAAAAAACGAGAAAACGAACCAGGGTCCGAGAAACGAACCAGGGCCCGAGAAAACGATACAAAAACCCAGGGGCCGAGAAAACGAGAAAACGAGACAATGAACCAGGGTCAGAGAAAACGAGATAACGCCCCAGGGGCGGAGAACACGAGAAAGCAAGAAACTGAACCAAGGTCCGAGCAAACGAGACCACGATCCAGGCAGAGAAAACGCGAATACCGGTCCGAGAAAACGAGAAAACGATCCAGGGACCGAGAAAACGAGAAAACGAGAAAACGAACCAGTGTCCGAGAAAACGAGACTACGACCCAGGGGCCGAGAAAAAGAGAAAACGAAAAAGCAAACCAGCGTCCGAGAAAACGAGACCACGACCCAGGGGCCGAGAACACGAGAAAACGATAAAACTAACCAGGGTGCGAGGACACTGAACCACGACCCATGGGCTGAGCAAACAAAAAACGAGAACACGAACCAAGGTCCGAGAAAACGAGACCACGACCCAGGGGCCGAGAAAACGAGAGAACGAAAAAGCAAACCAGCGTCCGAGAAAACGAGACCACGACACAGGGGCCGAGAAAACGAGAAAACGAGAAAACGAACCATGGTCCTAAAAACCCAAACCACGACCCAGGGGCAGAGAAAACGAGAAAACGAGAAAACGAACCAAGGCCCGAGAAAACGAAACCATGACCCCGGGGCCGAGAATACGGGAAAACGAGAAAACGAAACGGGGTCCGAGAAACCGAGACCATGACCAAGGGGCAGAGAAGCCAAGAAGACGAACCAGGGTCAGAGAAAAAAATACCACGACCCAGGGGGCCGAGAAAACAAGAACACAAAGAACACAAATCAGAGTCAGAGAAACTGAGACCACGACCCGGGGGCCGAGAAAACGAGAAAACATGACAACGAACCAGCGCCCGAGAAAACGAGACAAAAACCAAAAGGGCCGAGAACACGAGAAAACAAGAAAACTAACCAAAATCCGAGCTAACGAGACCACGACCCAAGGGCCGAGAAAACCAGACAACGTGAAACGAACCAGGGTCAGAGACAACCAGAACACGTGAAACAAAACAGGGTCCGAGAAAACTAGACTACGACCTAGGGGCCGAGAAAACGAGAAAACGAGAAAACAAATCAGCGTCCGAGAAAACGAGACCACGACCCAGGGGCCGAGAAACGGAGAACGCGAGAAATCGAGCCAAGGTCCGAGAAAACGGGATCACGACCCAGGCGCCGAGAAAAAAAAACTAACCAGGGTCAGAGAAAACGAGAACACGACCCAGGGGCCGAGAACACGAGGAAACGATACAACTAACAAGGTTGCTAGGAAAAATGAGACCTCGACCCAGGGGCCGAGAAAACAAGAAAACGAGAGCATGAACCAGGGTCCGAGAAAACGACACAAAAACCCAAAGGCAGAGAGAACGAGAAAACGAGACATCGAACCAGGGTCCGAGAAACGAACCAGGGCCCGAGAAAACGAGACAAAAACCCAGGGGACGAGAAAACGAGAAAACGAGACAATGAACCAGGGTCAGAGAAAACGAGATAACGACCCAGGGGCGGAGAACACGAGAAAGCAAGAAACTGAACCAAGGTCCGAGCAAACGAGACCACGACCCAGGCAGAGAAAACGCGAATACGGGTCCGAGAAAACGCGAAAACGTACCGGGGCCCGAGAAAACGAGAAAACGAACCAGTGTCCGAGAAAACGAGACTACGACCCAGGGGCCGAGAAAAAGAGAAAACGAAACAGCAAACCGGCGTCCGAGAAAACGAGACCACGACCCAGGGGCCGAGAACACGAGAAAACGATAAAACTAACCAGGGTGCGAGGACACTGGACCACGACCCATGGGCCGAGCAAACAAAAAACGAGAACACGAACCAAGGTCCGAGAAAACGAGACCACAACCCAGGGGCCGAGAAAACGAGAAAACGAAAAAGCAAACCAGCGTCCGAGAAAACGAGACCACGACACAGGGGCCGAGAAAACGAGAAAACGAGAAAACGAACCATGGTCCTAAAAACCCAAACCACGACCCAGGGGCAGAGAAAACGAGAAAACGAGAAAACGAACCAAGGCCCGAGAAAACGAAACCACGACCCAGGGGCCGAGAATACGAGAAAACGAGAAAACGAAACGAGGTCCGAGAAACCGAGACCACGACCACGACCCAGGGGACGATAAAACAAAGCAAGAAAACGAATCAGGGTCAGAGAATCCGAGACCACGACCAGGGGGGCGAGAAGACGAGAAAACATGACAACGAACCAGCGCCCGAGAAAACAAAACAAAAACCCAAGGGCCGGTAAGAAGAGAAAACAAGACAACTAACCAAAATCCGAGCTAACCAGACCACGACCCAAGGGGCGAGAAAACCAGACAACGTGAAACGAACCAGGGTCAGAGACAACCAGAACACGTGAAACGAAACAGGGTCCGAGAAAACTAGACTACGACCTAGGGGCCGAGAAAACGAGAAAACGAGAAAACACATCAGCGTCCGAGAAAACGAGACCACGACCCAGGGGCCGAGAAAACAAGAAAAACAAGAAAACCAACCAGGGTCAGAAAAAAAAGAAAAGAAAAAAAACAGGGGCCGAGAAACGGAGAACACGAGAAATCGAGCCAAGGTCCGAGAAAACGGGACCACGATCCAGGGGCCGAGAAAACAAAAAACTAACCAGGGTCAGAGAAAACGAGACCACGACTCAGGGGCCGAAAAACAAGAAAACGAGAGCACGAACCAGGGCCCGAGAAAACCACACAAAAACCCAAAAGCAGAGAAAACGAGAAAACGGGAAAACGAACCAAGGCCCGAGAAAACGAAACCACGACCCAGGGGCCGAGAACACGAGAAAACGAGAAAACGAACCAAAGTCCGAGCAAACGAGACCACGACCCAAGGGCACAGAAAACGCGAAAACGAAGCAGGGGCCGAAAAAACAAGAAAACGAGGAACCGAACCAGGGTCCGAGAAAACTGGACCACGACCCAGGCGCCGAGAAAACAAAAAACGAGAAAACGAACCAGGCCCCGAGAACACGAGACCACGAGCCAGGGGCCGAGGAAACGAGAGAACGCGAAAACGACCCACGACCAAGGGACGGAGAAAACGAGAAAACGAACCAGGGCCTGACGAAACCACGACCCAAGGTCCGAGAAAATCAGAAAACGCTTGGTTCGAGAAAACGAGACCACGACCCACGAGCCGAGAAAACGAGGAAACGAGGAAACGAAGCAGGGTCAGAGAAAACGAGGCCACCACCCGGGGGCCGAGACAACAAGAAAACGACAATACGAACCAGCGCCCGAGAAAACAAAACCACGACCCAGGGGCCGAGAAAACGAGAACACGAGAAAACTAAGCAGGGGCCGAGAAAACGAGAACACTAACAAAAGTCAGAGAAAACGAGACCGCGACCCAGGGGCCGAAAACACGACAAAACAAGAAAACGAACCAGGGGCCGACAAAACGAGAAAACTAAAAAAAAGGAATCAGGGCCCGAGAAAACGGGACTACTAACCAGGGGCCGAGAAAACAAGAAAACAAGAAACGAACCAGGGGTCGACGTTATACTCCAATGCGTTCTCTAGCGCTGCGTCGCGCACCTTTCTGCAGGGACTCAGCCATTGTGCCATGACCCCGGAAGGGAGGGGCGGGGGTAGCTTCGGAAGCCCCCCCCCTTGCAAAGGAGGGTGGGGGGGTAGCTTGAAGCCGCCCCCCCTGTGTCCAGACCAATAAGCGAAGGAGGGGAGGTAGCTTCCGAAGCCTCCCCCCCCCCTGTGAAAGGGAAGCCCGGGCTCACCTTCTGCTCCAGAGAAGGGAGGGAGGGAGAGGGCAGCTTCGAAGCCCCGCCCCCTTAGCCAGGGCCCCCCTAGCTTAGACACCCTTGCAGAAGGGAGGGGGGGTTAGCTTCGGAAGCTCCCCCCCTTTTGGAAGGGAGGGGGGGTAGCTTGAAGCTGAGGCCCCCCTTTCCTTATTCCCGGCGCTGCGGGCGCGCCCTTTCCAACATAACTTGCGCAGCGTAGCTTATAATACAAGCCACATGGATTGAACCGCGTGGATTGCAACACACAGCTTGCACCACATGGCTTACACCAAATACGTTGCACCGCATATCTTACACCGCGCAGGGTGCATCACATAGGCTGCACAACATAGCTTACATATCAACCATGCGATAACTCAAACATTGGGGTCCACGCTGGCAATAGTCGTTGGCCTATGCAAGTCCAACCGAAAACTGAGCACTTTGGCAACATCGCCAGATGCTACGGACGATCTTTGGTGCCCCGAGACAATGCCAAGAAGATACGGCTCGCGAGTTCCCAAAGGACAATAAGATGTGGACCAGATGGAATGTAGCTCTTCATGTTCACCCAGTGTCGCTAAACATGGGGGTGCTAGATTGCTGGACAACGACCTGCAAGAAGTTGCAAACCACTTGCACCAATGGGCCAAGTGGGTCAGACGTGCCACGCAGAAAACGCAGCACCTGCTGGGGCGCTTGAATGTTGATGACTGGATCACAGCGAAGTGCAGAGCATGGCAGATGAGCATACTGGTTTTCGCATGGGAGCCTGAATTGCCCATGGAATGTGCGCAACCAAGCCGACAAGCATCGAGACCAAGAACTCAATGGGCTGACGGCACGCGCACCTGCAAACACATATGATAAGCTGGCATCCTGGGCCGGCACAACGAGAACACCGACATGGAGTGCGCTCGAGCCTATTTAGAGTTGCAGCCTAAGCGCATTCAATCATTTAAGACCCCCCCTGCCACCTGCTCTCAAGCATAATGTTCCTTACGTTTGGTCGCGCACCGGCCCCAAACCGCTTTGTCCTCTCGAGTGGACACTCATACGGGTGCTGAGCGAGGAGATGGAGGGGGGAAGGAAGGCAGGAGGGAGGAGAAATGAGGAGGGAGGAGGGAGGAGTAGGGAGGAGGCAGGAGGCGAATAGAGGAGGAAGGAGGGAGGAAAGAGGGAACAGGGTGGGAGGAGAAAGGCGGGAGGGGGCCAAGGAGGACGGGTCGAAGGGTGGAGGATTCACGAGGGAGGGGGGGAGAAGGGCAGACAGTGGAGGAGGGACGGAAAAGGTAGGAAGGACGAACGAAGGGAAGGAGGACGAAGGGCAGAGAGGAGGGAGGAGGAGGGAAGAAAGGGACATTCGCCTTCTCCAGCCCTCCTCCTTCCTCTCCTCGCCTCTCCTCTCTTCTCCTCTGGCCCGATAAATTTGGGCATTATTCGCAAGGCAATGATGCCACGTTGCTGCCAAAACAATGCCCAGCCTCCGAGCCTAGCTTTCGTTGGCGTCCAGAAGATGCCGAAGCTTCAGGAGGGACTTGCTTTGCATAGATGCCGCCAGGGGAATCGCAGTCTTGGCGCCGAGACTCCTGAACACTTCGTTCTCCATGACGACTATGTAGTGCAACGAGCTGCCACGGGGATGACACTGCGAGACAACAAAGCCACTGGGATAGGTGACGGCTGGCGGCGCCACCCTCGTGACGTGCTTGAAGTGTGGGTGGTCGACGGACCGTGAAGCCATTACGTAACTCCCCGGCGAGGTCTGCTTCCAGGCACGGAGGAGCGAAATGTCCCTCCGCACCCTGGCAGTGCTCGGCAGGCACGCGGCGCACTGCCCGCGCACGCCCAGCAGAAAAGGCATGCAGCGGGGCGGCGCGCAGTCGAGCACCCGAGGAGTGTGCGGCACCTGCACGACCATGTGAACGAGATCGGCCGTAGGACTGAGCTGCTTCTCCACGGTGTACTGCTCGCACTTCTCATCCCACTGGTGCCGCTGCAATGACGACAACTTGCGGAAAACGCTGCCTGCGTCTGCCTGGCATGAGATAGTGAAGTGGAATGCCGTGAATCGTTGGCCAAAGACGTCAGTGCTAACCGCTACGTCTACACCTGGCTGCTGCTCGCAAGCAACCAATGCCTTCCACGTGGTGCGGGCAGTGCCCTCGACAAGCCGAAGCACCGAATCTATAGTTGCAGCTTCGCACTCCACAGCCAGGGCCTCGAGCCACGGCAAAGCTCCACCTTTGAACGACGTCATACTAGCACACGCCCGGGTGATTTCGAGCCGTCGCTGAATTTCATGGAATTCAACCAGCTCTGACTTCTGTTCCGTATCTGGCGCCACTTCCGCAACCCCGAAGGGCGTGCCCCCGACACGATCGGCGAAAACCTTCATATGGAAGATGGCGGTGTTGATCCGTCGAACACTTTGGGGGTTCACCGAGCGTGTGAGACCGATGCCCCCATCGAAGATCCCACCACAGTTACTCAACTTCTTTTAGGTGGTCAGGCATCGGAGCTGTACGTAGTCGCACGGGCGCCTAGCTAATGGGATTTAGCGCCCCCCCCCCCACTAAAAACACACACACACACACAAAAAAAAAAAAAACACTTGCGACCCCACTAAATCGGACGAAGTCCAACTACCCCCTCACTGAATATATCCCACTGAATCCCACGAGAGCACCCACTAAACCCCATTAAATCAAATGAAACCATACATTGAAAAACTCTTTGGGTCTGACAGAAGCTCCAATACTTGGCCACCTAACCTATTGGAATTGAAAGGGGGCGAATTCCCCCCGGAAGGATCCGAGCTCATCGGCCCAATCCTGAACGCCCTGAACGGCCAAGACGGCACCCGGATGCCGGGATAATCCAAGAGGCCTCCAGAGACAACAGGAGGTCCGACGAGGCCCCGAGAGAAGGCACACGCGAGGCCCCAGAAGACCCCGTAAGACGGCCGGAGTTATCATCAAATTTTGTCCAGAGTGGGTCGGCTTTGCCGCAGGTGTTCAACCTGTGGTATTCGAAGACGTCCCTCCCGAGAGGTCACACGCAGGTGCAGCGTCACGAAGTGCACGTGAGATGCAACGCGAAGACGTGCCGAGCGAAGTAACGGGGTGCGACGCAACGCAGTTCGCAACATGTCATTGCAATGCAACAGTGCGCCGCAATGCAGTGGAGAGGAAGTAAATGCAGGCGATGAGACGAATAACAGCCAACATAAGACGCCATGCAATGCAGACGCTGCAAGTAATACAATACAACCAAATAACGAACATGTAAAGAACATCGCAGCAGCGCCGTAACATGTAAGGGTCTGTTACATTGGTATCTGGCTCGGTTCAGACGGGCCTGATCTTCAAGTTGACTGGAACATGGCATGCAGCGTGCACTGTGACTCCTCGCCCAGAGAAATCAGCCGACCCTTGCTTTGCCCGTTCCCCCTCCGCGGACAAACATCCTCTTAGGGAGGGGGCACGAGCTCGCCAACGCACCCCTGGGGCCCTCGGAACCTCCAAATCTACCACCCGTGGCCTCCCGCATGGTCAAGATGCCTCCCAAGGTGGCTCCAGAGGGGCTTCAGCATACTGGAGTGGCCTCAAGAGCGCCAAAGATGGCCTCAGGACGGTCGACGAGGTCCCCAGGACGCCTCGAAAGGGCCTCAGGAGAACCCCCAAGAGGGCACCAAGTGGCAACCATCAATGACGCTCCTGAGCTTGTTCGATGTGTTTGCGTTCTCGCCTTGAGCGGCCCGCGAGGGCCCCTAGACCAGCCTAAGACGGCCCTAAGAGGCCCCAAGAGGGCCAGGAGACGGCCGAAGAGAGCCCCAAGACTGCCCAAGAGGCCTCCACGACGGCCAAGCAAGCCTTCAGAGAGCTCCACCGAGGGCCCAAGAGGCCCAAGAGGGAGAACTCGTTGGGGTGGGAGCCCTCCCCCACAAGATGGCTCCCAAGACCCCGACGACGACGTGCCACCACGACGCCCCGAAGAGGCCCCATTCAGGGTCCCACATAGCCCCCACGAGTCCCGAAAAACCCTTCACGAGGGCCCCAGTGTGCCCCAGGAGTCGTGAAAAAGCTGTCAAGAAGCTGCCCTCGAGGCCTCCAAGATGCCCCGCAGCAGACGCAGAGAATGACGAGCACAAAGCAGCAACAACCACACGCAAGCAGCACGACGGGGCACGGCAAACACCACATACCGCATCGGAAGCAACACAGATCCTCCTCTGGGGGTCGGCGGAATGGCGTACGCCTCTTCAATACCTATACGACCACCCTGCGGGTGATAAGGAGGTTTGGGGGGGGGGGCAGCAATGGGCAACAGTGGTGGATGTTGTTGTGACAGTGCCAGTGGAGATAGTTTCGTTGCGTTCTGTTGCGTTGTCGACATCACCATTAAGATCATCATCATCATCATCATCATCATCATCAGCATCATCATCATCATCATCATCATCATCATCATCATCATCATCATCATCATCATCATCATCATCATCATCATCATCATCATCATCATCATCATCATCATCATCATCATCATCATCATCATCATCATCATCATCATCATCATCATCATCATCATCATCATCATCATCATCATCATCATCATCATCATCATCATCATCATCATCATCATCATCATCATCATCATCATCATCATCATCATCATCATCATCATCATCATCATCATCACAATCATCATCACCATCATGGCCATCATCACCATCAGCATCGCACAATCGATCTCACATTCGGTCTCACTATCGATATCACAATCGATCTCACAATCGACGTCATCATCATCATCATCATCATCATCATCATCCATCATCATCAGCATCATCATCATCATCATCATCATCATCATCATCATCATCATCATCATCATCGCCATCATCAACATCATCATCATCATCACCATCATCCTCATCCTCATCATCATCATCATCATCATCCTCATCATCATCATCATCATCATCATGAAATTCATCATCATCATCATCATCATCATCATCATCATCATCATCATCATCATCATCATCATCATCATCATCATCATCCACGTCATCATCGGGACACCGACGGGACACCGAAGGGACACCAGCGGGACACCGGCGGGACACCGCGCGGCACCGGCCGCCCGGTCAAGGTTCTTTTGCCCCGGCCGCGCCTCAGCCACACAGGACACCAGCGGGACACCGGCGGGACACCGCGGGGCACCGGCCGCCCGGTCGAGGTTCTTTTGCTCCGGCCGCGCCTCAGCCACAGGAGACTTTCTCTCGCCCGCCCACGCAGCTTCGCCTCGCCCGCACGGCACGCAGGAACACGAAACCGAAATCGATATCCCGGTAGGGGGGCTCTCCGTTCCACTTCGATCTCACCCCCCAACCTCCGACCCTACTTGCAGGCACGGGCTGTCTGGTTTTCACACTGCTCGATGCGAGATGGCCTGAACAGAATAATAGAAATCCCAAGACGGCCCGAGAGCGCTCGAACCGAAAGCCCCCCAATACAACCCAGGCCGCCACAAGCAGACCACGAGGACGGCCCAGAACGGCACAAGGGGGCTCCGAGGCCAAACACTGTCCACGATACGGCGCCAGACGGACCCCACCTCCTCCTACTGTTCCTCACTTTTCTGACGCGCTCTGGACGTTATTGCCCCTTCTTGGTCCTCTGGATGCTTCTGAGAACCTGTGGGTACTTTCGCGAACCTCCAGGGGCCGCTCCTCTTCCTCCTCCGCCTCCTGCTGCTGCGGCTCCTCCTCCTCCTCCGCCTCCTCCTCCTCCTCATCCTTCGCCCCCTCGGACCCTACCCAACGGCCCTACGATGACACTTCGAGGTTCGTACACCGAAGATCCTCACCACGCTCCCTAGACGTCCCCGAAGCAGAAACCCTAGACAAATTCGACCGAAAGAGCTGCCCACGAGGCCAGAAAGGAGGCCGTACGTTGCAGTAGCAAGCGCGCCAAATCAGACCAGACCAGACGCGACAGACCAGATCAGACCAGACAGGCTGGACGGTGCACACATGCCAGCCACAACCAGATCAAGTCAAGATCAGACCAAATATCATGCACCTGACCTAGCAGACCAGGCAGACAGTGAATATCAAGAAAAAGAACCATACTCGACACAGCGAGCACCAGCAGACAACGCACATGGACCAAACATATCATGCATATGTCATGGTTGAGGTGGGACCGGGCAAGGAGCAAGAGATCATGCATCAAGGCGCACCAAGGCACGTTCCATTCTAAGAAGAGCCAACCTGGCTTGAGATGATCCCCGCGATACCACAGCATAGCCCCAGAAGGCCTCCAGCAAGTCTGCCTCCAGCTTGACCCAAGACTACCACAATACAGCTCGAAGTGGCAACGGAGCCTCCCGAGCCGGCATCTTGCAACATCCAGTGGTTTTCAATGTCGTGTACCTTCTCACCCTATCGCTTGCGATGGCCTTTTGAAGTTGCAAAGTAAGTGCAAAATCGCGCACGGCAGCTTCAAGATGGACCCGTAAGAGTTCCAAGATGGCCCCAAAATTTCTTGAGAGCGCTTCCAGGCAAGAGGCCATATTTTGGGCATCGACAGGGGAAGCTGACAGCAGCCTCATTAGTTTGATCGATGTTCTCCAAAATGCCCCAACGGGACCTCAACCGTCCCGAAGAAGGTCCCTGTATGTCCCGAAGAGCTCCCAATCGCCGCATACAGTTCCCAGGGAAAGCCCCAATAAGCCTCCAAGGCGCCCCCACATCGAAAGATTTGCGACGGGCTTCAGTATTGGCTCCTGGGTCTGCCCAGGCTGATCCCGAAGTGCAATTCGGTGGATGGCACCCCTGCGTGCTCCACTGCACGCACACGTCCCTGTGCGAGCAACTCGCCTGGCGGTCAATTCTAGATAGGCTGCTGGGGCACGCGTCCGCAATTTGTCTGTTTGCCCCACTGAACCAAAACGTCCCTGAT